GAATGTGTGCACATGCATCTGTTGTTATGTAGAGGTGGTGACGATAGGAGTTTCACCCAAGTCGCTTCTCCTGACGTTTTTGCTCAACTTCAACAAGGTCGCTGACGAGGTTGTTTATCAGATCATCAAGAATCTGGGCCTCAATGGCTGATCCAATCTCCTGATATTCCCGCTGGAACTGCTGAACCCATTTTTGACACGAAAGGTCTCTGCTAAGTACAGAGTCCATAGTGCTTGTCTCACTGCGAGCAAGCTGTGACCATCCGCGAACCATGGCCCACACCTCGAGTACAAGCTCCTTTCCGACCAGTGGAGGGCGCCGATTGCTTCTCCCATCCACTTGCAGCCACTTGCGAACATCCTCCTCATCTTCGTGTGCTAATTTCCTGGCAAGCCCCTCACTCACGGCGTTGAAAAGTAGCCACCGTTTATGACGTGTTGGATCCGTTGAGGATGGCGGCACTGACCCACCATCTTGCTTCTCACCCATGGTGAGGAGCGATTGTTCAGTTCCTGCGCTTACTCTCTCCTGATGAAGTAACCCAGTCGCCTCACCATCTGCCGACTGATTTGCAGCTTGCCTCTCCCTCTCCATCTTTTCAAACAGGGCCGGGTCTAATGGTTTCCCCGGAGCATACCACCTCAAATTAGACCTGACCGCCTCCTCCGCCGATGCGAACCCAGATGCTGCCAGGATATCCCTTACATACAGCAGGTCTTCACGCACAGCAGATGACTCGCAGAGGGACAGCTCTTCTTCGGGAACCTCAACTAAGGTCTTATCCTGTGGCGGCTTGCTATCCGGAAACGCGGATGCCTCTTCTCGCACTAAGATGCCTCGCTTTGAGAACAAGTCTTTCGCTGCTGATGATTCCGGGGAAAGTATATCGATCCAAGAGTCGCCATCATCCTTGGTAGGGAAGCGCTCCGCCGCGCTTCCGCTGCCCAAATCAGTGCGCACCTCAAGCTTGAGGCCTCCAGGCAGGGAGATCTTACGTTTTCCTGCTCTTTGCACGCAATTCAAGTGGTCCTTGTCCGTGTCTTGATGAGCGGTGGGGTGCCTGGGAATGGAGGGAGTACAACAGTCGGTCCCGTTCCTCTCATCTTCTCTGCCAACTCTCTTGATCTTCCCTTGAGCAGACGGTAGTTCACTATCGGCACCGTCTTCAAAGCTACGTTTCAAAGACAAAGCTGTGGACTTGGTGCTAAGGCCTTGATCTTCTGAAGACGCAAGCCTCCCAGGGTCTTCTGTTTTTTGTCCAGCTCCATGTCCATTCTCCGATTTTCCGCCTTCCTCTCTTATCCAATCTCCACGATGGATGACTGCAAACAATTGCTCCTGAATTTCTGCATTCGCAATTGTGCAACAAACAGTTCTTGTAAGACATGGTATACTATCGACATCACCACATCCACAGTCTGCAGCCAGACAGACGTACATACACAACATGCGCATCCACATGCACATGCACATGCACATGCACATGCACATGCACACAGACATGTACACATACACATACACATACACATACACATACACATACACATACACATACACATACACA